AGAGAGAGAGAGAGAGGGAAGTATCCGCGCGAAACGAGTTTCGCCCGATGTAATTTACGACGGACAGGATCGGGTACATCGATTCCGTGTGCTCCAATTTTACATGCTCTCCGCGATAGTTTGTACGAACGTTCGATCGATTTTTTTCTTCCCTTTTCAACGATCTCGTTCGTCTTTTACGGCTAATCTTCTATGGCGGTTGTTTTCTTCATTTTTTTCAAAATTTTCCACCGATTTCCGTGACTGCGCGGCCAGTTGATTTTTAATTTGTTTTTACACGTAAAATTACAAAGAACGGGATAATTGAGCGGTGGTCGGTGGACAATTCTGAGGATTCCACGCGAGATACGCGTTTCAGATGTTGCCGCACCTCATGCAACGAATATCTCCGGCGTTCGCGTTGCCACTGTGCTCGTTCAAGGTCGAGAGGAACAAGGAGTCCACGGCTAGGGTAGCCATATGGCGGCAGTTAGGTGTCTCGAGGTACACGTCCACATAGTTGCCGATCCATATACCTTCGTATAATATCCATTTGAAACTCGTTCACTCTGCAGTGACGCACGATTTTTTTAATCTTAAACCGTAGAAGTTACACCATGGAGAGCAGTTTCTGCGGATGTGACCAAGGAACGTTGGCAGGCTTGCATCTGGACACGAAACACCTGAAAGCGATCGGTCAAGATTTCTGCCAGGCTCTGTCGATGATGAAGGACTGCGGTGAAGATTGGAGCGTGGAGAAGTAAGTTGAATGGGACGATCGAGTCGATGATGGCAGGAAATTTGCAGAGGACTGGTAGCTAGAGCAAGAATAATGCGAAAGATTTTATGAACGCAGGACATTGATGGAAGACTGTTGTCCGCGAAAATGCATTTTGCGGGCGTCGAGAAAGCTTCCTCCTAAATGTATTCAGGATAAATCGGCGGTGCATCATATCGCTGCGATCCCATAACGAACGATTAAGTAGACGATTCAAGGCAAGATTTTTGTAGAATTTTTATCCAATTTTGTTGTGCGATTATGTATGATTAATGTCGATTAATTAATCGTTGTTCCAACGTGTCTGTTCAAAATGTTACTAATATTTCTGCCTAACGAATTAAATCTTGCCCGATCGATTTACTAACATTAACTAATGCACCAATGCACAAATGCATTGAAACATTTTGCAAGTATTACGTTTCTGTTAATATATTTATTTTTATTCTTTAGAATCCCCATGGGGGAGGGTATTCCCGAGGAATCAGGATGCATGGAGGATGACATTTCGTCCAGCTGCGAGTCGGATGAGTCCGATTTTGAAACTTAGAAATACCTGGTGATTTCAAATCTCGTAGAATCGACAACGATATCGACGATCGGCGTTCTTTCGCACATCGAACAACATGGCAATAATCCTAAACAATATGTCCAGATTCCTTTGGTTGCTGAACGAAAGGAAGTAAGAACACCGAAGAAAGATTCTGTACACTTTGAAGAATTTTTATTTAAAACTCGTAACAAATATCAAGCTATCTCTACGGAGATCCTACGTGGAAACTGAAGCCCAGTTTCATTGAATACAATTTCGAAAACGAACGTGTCGCCGTTTGTCAATTGAAACTTCTATTAAATTTGAGCATTTTAGATATCACCGATGACGGAACGTATGCCCGCTTGAACCAGAATTTGAGAACTTCGTTCGCTAAAAAAAGAAAGAAGAAAAGAAAGGAATACAGCAGACGATCGTACGCCAGAGATCAAATCAAAAATTTGAAAGTCAACGTTACGAACAACCAACATGGTAGAAGACTCGAAAACAGAAAGTGATATTCTATAGAGAAAGCGATTCGAGGCGATTTTAAAGATCAAAAATCATCGAAGCGAATTGTTCTATTTCTTACCAAAGGAAAAAAAAAAAAAAATCTACAAAACGGATTTAGTTGCGAGCGTCGAAGAAACAAAATCCGTTCCCCATTTACGCTACACCTCGCTGATTACATTTATTGTATGTGATATTTTCTCGATTTTGTGATCATAAAAAATAAAGCTTACTTGTAACACGGCAAAGTTCTCGCTAAAAAAAGATTTTCACCCAAAACTCCCAAGCGCGTGTGCAAAAATTCTCTCTCATTCTCACTCGCATTTTACGCTAATCCTTAATTAAATTGATTCAGTCTTCTACGAGGTCGTTAATCGCGCACGTAAGTACGCGTTTTCACACGAAGTTTAACAAATTCAGGCTTCTAGAGGTCGTATTGCTCAATTTTTAATACAAGCTTACAAGCGATACATTACACAGTGTGATACCGGTGCTTTGAGAGAAACCATACCACAATTCAGAACTGACAAATCACGGAAAGCAGATAATTAAAAAGAGGGTGGCACAGATTTTTTTTCTACTGCGATTGACGGTGCTTTGTGTGTGTGAAATCGAAGCTCGATCGATGGAACGTGCATACAACGAATCGAATATTCGAAAGTAAAGTTCGAATGAAAACGAGAAAGGTGAAAAAGCTGTGAATCGTTTTTGCAGTGTGGAAAAGAAC